CTTATAGCATTTATTTAAAGCCAGGCATGAACTCAGCAATCTCAAACCAAAGCACCACTATTCTACTTAGTGCGGTTTTCCAACAGCTGTTTGGTAAAACAATGAGTAAGAGAGTGTATTTTTATTTATGGGCATAACGATGACATGAATAAGGTGGAGGCAGAAACCTGGCTTGAACAAAATGAATCCCTGATCAAAACTTTTCAGGGCCTCTGATTAAGGAGCGAAGGACTGATATTTCAGACAGATCTATCAGGAGACAGGAACAGGAAGAAAGGCAGTGACAAAGATCCCAATTCTAATCCTGCTTCTGCCACTTACTAGCTATCTAATATTGGGCGTCGATTTCTGTGAGCTTCAGGACTCTCATCGGTCAAACGAACCTAAAATAGTTTCTTCACCCCACAGTTCTGTAAGAATTTGGGGAGAAATTGTCAAGTGCTCAGCTCAGCAATTCCTGGCATTATACCTCTAGTTTAGGTAGCTGATAAATGGTACCCAAAATGTAATTACATAAACTGGAAAAATAGAAAAAACGATTTCAGTATATCTCCATTAACAGGAATGTTCCAAAATAACCCATCCAGTTGACTGACTTATCTAAATAAAAATCATTGCCAAAGAAGAAAACAAAAGCTATCCACATTGTCAGTGAGAAAAGATATAATCCAGAGTCCCTGAGACTCAATGGTTATTTACCTGAGGAGACAGTCATGATAAGAAAACCTGCACACAGCCTCAGAGGCTGTAAAAAGAGGACTTGGTGGTAAGGACCACTCAGGCTCCAAGCCTGATCTGTTATTGATTTAGGATTTATCTTCTACCTTCTTCCCCAAAAGATCAGAGGCAGATTATAGTTAAGAGGTGAAGTAATAGGTGAGATCTGCTTCAACTGAAAATAAAATTTAGTGCTGGGTATCTACAGTTAAGGCAAAAAAGCAAACTATCACTAGGCAGTGGAAGAATCAGGGTCAATCAGAGAAGGCAAATTTTCCTAGAACCAAACTTGAACTTTTAAAATCAGAAACTGATCTTAGCGGCTGGGCGTGGTGGCTCACAACTGTAATCCCAGCACTTTGGGTGACTGAATCACTTGAGGTCAGGAGTTCAAGACCAGTCTGGATAACATGGTGAAGCCCCATCTCTACTAAAAATACAAAAATTAGCTGGGTGTGGTGGTGGGCACCTGTAATCCCAGCTACTAGGGAGACTGAGGCAGGAGAATTGCTTGAACCAGGGAGGTGAAGGTTGCGGTGAGCCAGGATCACACCATTGCACTCCAACCTGGGTGACCAAGTAAGACTCCGTCTCAAAAAAAAAAAGAAAAAAAAGAAAAGAAAAAAGAAACTGATCCTAGGAATTTATGCTTCCTATTCCTCCTACCCCTCAAAGTCCCAACCTAAGCTTTGATGTGTTATTTTCCTCCTCACAGCTTTGTCAATTAGAAGCTGTGTGACCCAGAACCAATGCCTCACCACTCTGAATCTCATTTTCTTCATCCCTGAAAAGAAATGATACTCCTATTTGTGAAAGGGAATGATGGAACAGTATATTTGCTAGCATTAATTGTGTGCCTACTAAGCATCAAAAGCTTCATGTATATTATCTCACTGAAATCTCCTAATAACCATATAACCACATAGGGCAAGTCCTATAAATTATCACTTGACAGTTAAGCTATCTGAGATTGAGAAAGGCAGAGACAGGTGCCACTGTCACACAGCTAAAAAGCAGGAAGCACTGGAACTCAATTTCATGCTTATGTGACACCAAGGTAAAACTTAACCATTGTACTTTTCTGCTTTCCTGAATATGTAAGGCACCTAGCATTCCTGGCACAGAGTAGATGCTCAACCTATTAGTTCCCTTCCTCCCCCCTTCCTTTTCTCCTAAAATTATATAATACATAGAAAATTAAAAGTTTACTAAAGTAATATTATATCTTATGTTTACACAGTTTCTTTAAGGAAATCATACCACTTAATTTATTTTCTCTATTAATTTCATCACATCTCTGCTTATCATTATGCGTTATTTCACCTATTTTACAAATAAGGAACTAAAAGGCAGCAGGCAGCTAAGACAATGTGCCCAGAGTCATATGGAAGTCACTGCTAAAACCAAATAAAAACCTTGATCCTCTTACTTATAAATCAACCTTTATCCTCTCACGTGACAGAGCCTCCATAATAAAGAACAGATCATTCATTTTTTTATCTGGAAAACTACCAAACGTTCTAATTCAGTAAGGGGCCTCATGACCCCACCACCTTGTCAAAGGGAAGAAAGTATATAAAAAATGAGGTTTGCAGGAGCAGATGGTTTTGGTCCATCAACTTTCTCTTGGATTACGCCCCTTAGCCAAAATAAAATAATGTAAAAAATAATGTAACAGATCGCCATTATCTTTGGAAATTTGAGTTAAACTCACTGATCTTTCAAACCTACATACAATGCACCAACAGTGATCATTTACTACTGTGGGGCTGCAGAAATGAAAGTTATGTCAACCAGATCTTTGAAAGAAAAATGTGATATACGACTGGGTCACCCTAAGAAGAATCCAAATCAGCAATGAGCATTTGGTAGCACAAATTCATAGCCTCACAGAATTCTGGAGCTTCAGAAAGGACCTGGCAGGCCACAAAGAACAACCCCTTCATCGGGTGTATCAGAAAACCAAGGCTTAGGGAGGTTAAGTGGCTGTCCAAGGTTTCACAAACAGGACAGCAAAAACTAGAAAATAAACCTGCTGACTACTATTACCTTTGTAAATCTTGCTTGTAATGTCCATGCATACATTTAGCACTTTCCAGAATTATGCATCTACTACACAGAAAATGCAGGTGAAAGGTAACAGAAAAACTCAGGCTTCAAATCCTGACTGCTATTTACCGGTCACAGGATCTGGGCAAGTCCCTTAATTTCTCTGAACTTCACATTTTTCATCTATAAATGTGGGTCCTAGCAACTTGCACAAGTAAGCTGGAGGCAATACCAACAAGAAGCCTGGCATACAGCCTGTGAGCTCCACTGAGCTCATACATCAGACCTATACATCCCCAGCACATACACATTCTCGGAAAACCCACCAAGCAAGTCAATGAACTTGCCAAACAGATACTACACTTGAGCCCAGGTCTATTTGCTTCTTAGATATTCGGTTATATTCCTCCCAATTTACATGATTTCAAAGCAGAGTGTTAATTCAGCCTCACAGAGGACTGAGAACACAATGGAACAAGACAGCCATTTTCTGGCCAGGAGGCAGGAAAAAGTTCAGTGTGGAAAGTTTCTGGACTCCCCATGTTGAGACTGATTCTTGTTGTCTGCATGGGTATGGGTATATCATGAGGCTTTGGAATCAACTAAACCTGGGTTTGAGCCCCAGCTTCAGCACAAGCTATGTGGCCTCAACGACATTACTTTTCCTCTTTGAGCCTAAATTTCCATACGTAGGAAAAAAACCTACTTTACAGGGATTAAAGACAAATGAGGCAATATATGTAAAGGAATACAGGATAATGTGTGGCACAAAAAGACACTCAACTAGTGTTCAATTCCATTTCCCTTTTAGTTATCTGGAAGCTTCATTCATTAGGTCTTTGTTCAAATGTCACTTTCTTCCTGACCCCCCCTACCTATAATAAAAGCCCCAAATCTCCCTATCCCCTTACTTTGCTTGTTTTTCTTCATTGTCCTTACCATCACTTGACATTCCATTATGTATTTATTTTCTATTTACTGTGCCTATGCAACTCTCAGGGAGGCCTGAGGAGGAGAGAGACTTTTTGTTGTTTGTTTCATTTACTGCTATATTCCAACAACTAAGAAAGTATCTGGCATGTCATTAGTGCTTAATAAATATTTGCTGAAAGACTGAATGAGTTAATTCAACACTTATTTGGGCCCTGCTATATGTGAGGCACTGTGGGGGAACAAGGATTTCAATCCTTTGGTATGGAATCTGAGAAGATGTGTCTCACCTGGACTGCTGCAGGTGCCTCCTGACTGTCCTCCTTGTGTCCACTTTGTCCCCCTACAGTCCATTTGGTAAACCAGCAGCCAGAGAGACCCTCACATAGTCACCATCAGATCAGGTCATTCCCCTTCCTAAATCCCTTCACTGACTTCCCATCACAATGAGCATAAAGCCCAAATGCTTACCATGACTTATAAAGCCTAAACCATCAGCCTCGACTGACTAGTCCAACCTCCTCTCTTACCACCCTCTCCCTGCATTTCACACACGCTGGCTTTTTTCTTTCTCAAAAAGGCCAAGGTCTTGTATTTTCTCTCCTTTTTTAAATTTAAAAATGAACATTTTATTTTTATTCACTTAAAACTTTAAGTTCTATATATTTATATAATTAATAATATTCTGTTCTCAAGCCTAAAATTCTTCAATTATTATCCAAATAATTCTTTTACATTAGCCTTTACATAGGAAGGGCTAATGTAAAAAATACCTCTTTAAAGAATCTAAGTTAGAGACTACCAGTGTCAAGGTCTTTTCAGACTTGCGGCCTTTGTGCTTGCTGTTCACTCTGCCCAAAATGCTCTCCCCTGGGCTGGTTCCTCATCATTAAGCTCTCACTAAAAATGTTACCCGCATAAAGAGTCTTCCCAGGCTAAAGGTGCCGTGCCACCATCATCCTCACCAAGTCAGTCTCTATTGGCTCCCACTGCCTTTTCTTTTCTCATAGCATTTCATTATCTGGAATGACTTTATTTATTTGTCCTACCTTCCCAACAAGAATGTAAACTATGTAAGGACAACAAATTCTCAAGCTTACTGTTGCAAATCTCACATCTAGTACATAACAGGAACTCAATAAGTATTTCTGAATCAGTAAAGTGATCTCAAAAGATGTTTGCCAGGGTGAAAGGTGCAGGTAAGGTATGTTAATGGCCTAACAGTATAGTAGGGTGTTTGTTGATTTCCTTCCAAGGACAACCACCCCATTTCATCAAAGTATGTGAATTTCAGCCAAACTTACTGGGGAATGGGTACCCGAATTAGTGTCCCTTCCACTTCTGGGTTCAGATTCATTCCACTTTCTCTTATAGCCTTGATAGCTGCAGCTGTACACTGAAAACCAGATCAAAAGGTAAACAGAATTAGTAAATAATTATTACCAGATGCAAGCCCTCTGTCGATAACTGGCAACCCATCTTGGCAGAACATGGAAACATTTAGTTCTGTTACCAGTAAGATCAGGAAGTTACATTGGTGTAGAGTGCTTTGATCAAGCTGAATAGCAAACTATGTCCACTCCTGGTACCAGTGTACTGCAGGAGGAAAAAAAGAAAGAAGAAAAAATAAAAAGAAAACAGCTCTGCTTCTTTGAAAAGATTTCAATGGTTTGAGGCAACCCAGATCAAAACCACAATAAATCCTCATGGGAGGGGGGCTGGTCTCTGCTAAGATTGGTGTAAAGACAGATGAAAGATTTCATACGTAAAAAAAATCCAGTTGACATTTTACACTCAAAATATACCAGTGCCGATTTGGAATGAGTAAGTAAATTTAACTCATTCACATCTGTACTCACACTAAACTCACTCATATTTTGGAATGAGCCATGAATCTCTGCTGTTATATGCTCCCACAAAGGTGGTGTGGTACACTAGTTTAAAGCATGGGCTTGGGATCAGAAAGATGTCAGTTCAAATCCCAGCTCCGGTAACTATGTGACCCTGGGCACATGCCTGACCTCTCTGAGCCGATACTTCCTCATCTGAGACCATGTGGCACCTAAACCTCAGAAAGGTAGTGAAGTAACATGAGCTACACATCGGGCTTTGTTCCCGGCACACAGTAATACTCAGGCAAGGACAGTCATATAAGCGTTATATACATTACATATATTTATTATATAAAGGTAAGAATACATAAAACCCCAAACAAGGAGGAGTTGATTCCTCATGTAGCTTGATGTACTGCTGTCCCGCCCAACATCCTTCAGGGGCTTCTCGGACATTTGGTTACCAACGTTCCAGCTGGTGAACTGGTACACTCATTTCCCAAAGTGCCTCACCTCACACTCAAGCAACATTACAGCTACACCTGGTATGCAATCCTAAAGAATAACAAGAAAGCAGTGTGGAAGCGAGATCCTTTCATTGGCATGACAATGGGGAATTCACAAAAACAAAGCCTGACATTTTCAAAAGAATTTTTGATTTGACTAGAGCCAATCCACAGCACTTGGATTCAGAGGCCAATTCCTACACTTGAGCTCCTCCTAGACTTCCTAATTCAAATGAATGGGGGTTGATCCACACTATTTTACTTTTCTAGGTTCTCTGCCTATAAAACTCATTCATTTCATTTTTAAATAACCTTACTGGTACAGCTACATGAGGTGTTAATATAAGGTCACAAAGACAAACCAGAACTTCCACAAACAGATGAAGGAAGATGGGAGGCTATATACAGAATCTAACACTGTGGCCACTTCCTAAAATAGTATATTCTTAAAATAGTACCTCTGGCCACAGATTATCAGACCTGGAAGGGATCTCTGACATAACCAAGTCTCTTCATTACGTGAACAGGAACTTGTAGAATAGGGTCACATCCCCAAGAGTAGGCTGGTCTTCCCTGACAGCCCAAGAGAAATGGTTTGAGGACCCCCACCCACCATACTTCCAGTTACTGGCAGAGTTAAGAGGAGACTGAATGGAGATTCAATCCAATGATGCTGCTCTGCCTTTATTTTTTTTTTCCAGATCCCCAGCTCAACACATTCAATAATGATAACATTAAGGATTTGATTTTTCTCTTTTTTTTTTTTTTTTGAGACAGGGTCTCACTCTGTCACTCAGGCTGGAGTACAGTGGCATAATCATGGCTCATTGCAGCTTTGACCTCCTGGGCTCAGGTGATCTTCCCACCTCAGCCTCCCAAGTAGCTGCAGGAGGAAAAGTATACTGCAGGAGGAAAAACAGAAGAGCTGGGACTATAGGTGTGCACCACCACACCTGGCTAATTTTTGTATTTTTTTAGAGATGGGATCTTACCATGTTGCCCAAGCTGGTCTCAAACTTCTGGGTTCAAGCAATCCAACCACCTCAGCCTCCCAAAGTGCTGGGATTATAGGCATGAGCAACCATGCCTGGCCTGATATTTTTCTTAAATAGCCAAAAATAATTTGGAGTTATGTTTGCTGTATAAAGGTTATGATCAAGGTAATAGAGCTGAATAAAACAATGAAATTAATTTTTCTTTGCAAAAGAAATGCCATTTTCCTTAATAAAATACAGATTATAAAGTTAACAATAAAGAGAGAATCTTTACTATGAAGGAGTAGTCCAATCTCAAGTCTTTCAACCCCCTTCTACAGCTTCTCACAAATGACTGATAATCACTACTCTAACACCCCATCACTACTACCTCCCTTTCACAAGCTGACCAAAGTGTCTCCATAAAACTTCCCCTATTGGCACTAGAGCACGGATTACTGACACCAAGCTGGGCAGGAACTATGTCTCAATATTTACATCTTCCCAGTACAAGTTGTGTCAGGTACCTGGTAAGTGCTCAGTAAAACCTTGTTGATTGAATATACCAGTGATCTGCTTCAGATCTATTAGAAAAACTCCTTTACCTCATGTATATTGTGGCTCTAAATCTTTAACTTTTCTGCATCTTTTCATATGCAGAAAAATAATGAATCAAGTTTCATTTTGCAAAGAAACCTACGGAAAGGCAGCTCTTCTAGGATATTCTAGATATATTTTCCTTTGACATGGTAGGACTCAGAACCTCAGTCATTTTCCCACATGACATCTGAAAAACTACTCATGGTTCAGACTAAAGAGGTATATAATCCTATAGACTTTCCATCTCTTATGCTTCATCCCTTTGCAGAAAGGATGCTCGACAGTATCCCAGGGCAAACAGGTTGCTCTCAAATGATAACATAACTAACTGGCTGTAGCTGCTTGGAGCAGTGTTAAGGAAGATCACAAATCCCATCTGGGGTCAGGCAGAGAAGAGTGATGTGATCAATTAGTAGTGTCTGCTTTTGTTATTCTAAGCTAATCTGTGTCAAATAAAAAAAAATGATAAGACTTTTGTAGACAGGTGAACAAGTCCTTGAGAATTTGGATTAAAGTCAACTCTGCTAGTTCCATATCAATTATTGGCCTTCCATTTTCTTCATATCCCAGTAAGCCCTTGGAATGTAAGGTATATGAAGGTAGACACATAGTCTGTCTTAATAATCAGTGAATTCCCAGCACCTCAAATAGAAATTAATCACTTGTAAGGACTCAAAAAATATGTGCTGAATTAATGAATGAATGATGAAAGGAGCACGGGCCTTTTCATGTCAAACAGAGATATGATCAAATCCTGGCTCTGTCACAACAGTGTGAACCTAGTGGAGATATTTTACTTCTTTGAGTCTCAGTTTCCTCATCCACAAAATGAAATAAATAATGCCTAATTTTACCGCGTACCTGTGTTGATCATATGAAATAAAACATGAGAAAGAGACTGGCAACAAAGGAGACAATCAATACACATTCATTTTCTTCCTTCCAGAAGAGCAATAATGGTGCCTGCAGAGTTGTGGTTTTCTTCGTTGTTGTTGTTTTTTTTTCATTTGCCTTGTTTTGTTCAAATCATGCTGTGGTTTTTATTCCCTTCCTTTCTTTCCCATCATTAACTCTAGCTGCAGGCAAGTTATGGAAAGCAGCAACTATGTGTATCATTTATCAAGCAGGACACATGTTAAACAAATGCAACACAGTTTTCTGTCTTCAATGCATTCAAAAAGATTACGCACGTAAATCTGCACCATGTCACTACAGCATGCCATGGAAATGCTCAGGTTTGGAAAGAAAGCCAACTGTATGTGAAACAGAAAGAAATTATGTAAACACAGAGAGGATTAGCTCAGCATTTGAAGCTATGAAGCTAGGTACTCTATGGTCAGCTTCTAAGCTGGAGGAAGGAAATATTTAGTTAGAGCTATTTATTTAATACATACAACAGATGAGATAAAGGAATTCAAAAGACAATGTAACACACACTTCCTCATTCTGTCCCTATAAATGAACCTCTCTACCGAGATACTTATAAGGATTTTTTCAAAACCCATGGAATTTCAACTTGAACAAATGGCAAAGATGTCTGGGTTGAAAAATGAAGATATACTCAACTTCCTAAGAAAAAATTAAGCTGTTAATATCTCCTCCTGCTTCATAAGATGCTCCGGTGGCCAATCAGGTGCTTCTTCTGTGAATGCCATTTGCTATTTAATAACAGAAGTGGCTGGCTCTGAAAAGCAATCTGCCTGATGAGGTCTTCAAGCTGTGTAATTAGGAGGCTATTCCCTAAATTGGCCCGCAGTGCCTATGGGATTAGATGAACAGGGCAGAGAGGCCTCAGTGGTTCAGAGGGGGCCAGAAAGAGAAAGAGTTGACAGTTCCCTTTTTCATCCACTTCTCTGTTCCTCAGTAACACCAGGAATGAGTGCCTCCCTTTTATTAACCTAATAACCAGTATTCACCCATTCAAGGAAAATTTACTGAAAGATTCCATGTGCCAGGCACTGTGTTTGGTGCTGGACACAACGAGCAAATTAGACATTCCTACATTCCAAGCTTACACTCTAGTAAAAATGAGATGAAAAATAAATTCATAAACCAATGTATATTAGTAATAAGTGCAAGAAAGATAAAGAATTGTGCTGTATAGGAGAACTTAGTGTGGAGGAATAATTTAGATCGGAGAGATCAGGAAAGCCTTCCCTACAAAAGTGACATGTAAGCCAAGTAGGAATTAGCCATGCAAGAGTGTTCCAGGCAACGCGAACAGGATATGCAAAGGCTCTAAGGGTGCAAAGGGTTTGGTGTGTTTGAGGAAATGGAAGACCAGTGTGGCTAAAGCATTGTACAAGGATGACAGTGGCACAAGACTGGCAAAACTGAAAAGACAGACAGAGGCCAGATCAAGCAAAGCCATATAGGCCACAGTAAGGAGGATTTTGGACTATTTCTCAAAGATTGCTGGAAGCCACCAATAATGTAAATCATGGGAATGAAAAATGACATAATCTTTTATATATATATATCTATATATATCTTATTTATTTAAGATACAAGGTCTTGTTCTATCACCCAGGCTGCAGTACAGTGGCATGATCATAGCTCATTGCAGCCTCAAACTCCCTGACTCAAGCCATCCCCCCACCGCAGCCTCCTGAGTAGCTAGGACTACAGGTGTGCGCCACCACACCTTGCTAATTTTTTATTTTTGAAATTTTGTAGAGTCAGGGTCTCCCTATGTTGCCCAGGCTGGTCCTGAACTCCTGGCTTCAAGGAATCCTCTAACCTTAGCCTCCCAAAGTGTTTGGATTACAGGCATGAGCCACCACGCCTAGCACAATATATATTTTTCAAAAACTCACTCTGGTTGTAGTATGGAGAATGGGGTAAGGGAGTGGTAACATCACCCCACAGGTGTGTGCCTGGCCCGTTAGTTATCAGAGCCCTTTGATTTGAAACAGTGTGTTCACAGCAAGGTCTTTTTCCCTTTCTCCTATCTCTAGCCTAGTTTGTCAAATTCAACAAGTCCAATGTTGGTCTATGACTTTGGAATACAACTACTGAAATAAACAGTAAAACAGGAGGATTCCTTCACCTCATGTTAGCAGATGAGGAAATGGAGGCCCAGAGTGTGAAGCAACTTGCCCAAGGTCAAACAGCCAGTTGGTGGCAGAGATGGGACCCGATTCCAGGTACTCTAGGACTCCTAATCCAGGCCAATTCCTAGTGGACCAATAACAAAAAGCTCAATTACCTTCCTCAACTACACTTAAAATCATAAAGCTTCAATGATGCAATGACCTAATACAAAAAAGCACCATGCTCCATGCAGTATTCTGCAATGGCCAGTCCAGTATAAAAGGACTTCCTGGAGGGTCTGCTCCAAATACTAATGCAGAGGTCACAAACTGGTGGCCCTCAGGCCATATCTGGCTCATTAAAATATGGTTTTATTTGCCTCATAGTCTTTTAAAAAGTAAATTAGTCATCAACATTTAAAGAATAAATATCTCACATAAATATCTGTGTTACTAGCTTCTGGAAATAAAAATCATAACATCAGGTAACGCTGATTATCAAGCCCACATTCGCATAGGAGCTGGGCAGAGGCACTCTCCTCAGACAATGCACAGGCTCTCCAGGTCACCAGAGCCTTTCCACACTGGCCAAGCACCAATCACTGCATCTTCAGTATTGTTTTTCTTAGATGGGGCTTGTTTGGGTATTTAAACGACTTACCTAGCCTCTATAGCATTTGAGTTTAACAGAAAAGGAATTTGGAAATGGGAAGAGAGCTTTTCCTTATTCTTAAATTCTCTTTATTATGTATTCTCCCTTGTTTCACTCTAGGCTGGAGAGAACACTTCCTCCTGATATGACCCAGTTTCTTCCATCCCAAAAGAGACCATGGAGAGAGATTTTAGCAAGGCCACCTTACCTCTGGAAAGCTGGCCATATTCACCAAAATCAACTGTGGCGACTTCATGGAGATCTGGCTAATCTGGTTTAAAGCAAGCTTCCCGTCAGCAGTTACCACAGCAATCTGGTCAAGGGATCCTAAAGGAAAAATAACAAAATTTTAGAATTTCAACGAATCTTAGTAGCCCCACATCTAAGTACCTATCTAATTCAGATTCAGGTTGGATGCAGTGGCTCATGCCTGTTATCCCAGAGCTTTGGAAGACTAAAGTGGAAGGAATACTTGAGGCCAGTAGTTTGAGACCAACCTGGGCAAAATAGCAAGACCACATCTCTACAAAAACATTTTTTTAATTTGCAGGCATGGTGGCATGTGCCTGGAAACCTAGCTACTTAGCAATGAGGCTGAGGTGGGAGGATTGCTTGAACCCCGGAGGTGGAGCTGTATTGCACCAGTGCACTCCATCCTGAGTGCAGTGCACTGTATTGCGCCATTGCACTCCATCCAAACAGAGTGAGATCCTGTCTCAAAATAATAGTAATAATTCAGATTCAACAAACATTTAGGGATTCTTATCAATGTGACAAGAGTGTACAAGGGGCTTTCACAGGAACAGCAGTATCATGTGATAGAAAAAGCTTGAAATGGTGACAGAACTAGGTTGAAATTCCTCACTAGCAACTAGGGTGGCCTGGAGCTGAAGAATTTTCTGTTTTAGTTTTAGAACTAAAACTGGAAACAGCTGATCAGCCTCATGAGCAACTCTGACATTTACTTGCTATGAAACCTGGGCTTAGTTACTTATCTTCTCTGTGCCTTGGTTTCTAACTCAGTCAAAAAATAGCTACCTTAGAGGATTAGAGTAGGACTGCAGCTAAAGGAGTCTAACTGAATATAAACAACGGGTATACAATAAACACCAAAAAATATGCATTAAAGTGATACCTCCTATTATCCCTTTTAGTCCTTACAACTACCCTGTAACAACTGCATTATTGCCCCCATTTTACAGATGAGAAAATAAGAGTTGAGAAGAATAAACATGCCAAGATCATAGGGGTAACAAAAGGCAAAACAAGAGTCAAGACCGAAACTCAAGTGTGCTTAATTCTGATTTCTAGCAAGGCTCTTTCCCTTACAAATGGAACTCAAATCCGGGTGTGCATCAGAATCACCAGGGAGCTTTTAAAATTAGATTCCTGGGCCCCACCCCAGAGAGATCCTGATTCTGCAGAGGCTTCAGAGCCTGTGATTTGGGGGAGCCTGTAATTTTTTTTTTAGGTTCAGCACATGAGTCTGACACAGCCAGATGTGGAACCATTTGCTTATATGACCCTTCATTTTGGTACTTAGATCCCCTTTAGAAACAAGCCCATTAAACAAAACACAACAACAAAAAAAAACTATTAACATTTTCCTATTTTCCTGGATATAATCTTTATCTGCATCTAGATTCTGGAAAACCCTGGGAAAAATTTTCAAAAATGCAAGCAAGCAAGCAATAAAGCTACAGTTACAGATGGAAAAGAGGCATTATTCAAACTCCCTTATTTCCTATGCAAATGAGAACTAGAAGAAAAACCTTACCATTCACAGTAGGAACCACTCAAGGATGGCTCATTCTGAGACACAAAGAGAAAGGGGGGAAATGGAGTCTTTTAAACAAACTGGAGTTGTCCTGGCAATATGTTGTTAGAATAATGCAGTACCAATACCATGGGCCAAAGATCTGATTTGAGGTACTCAACCAGACTCGATGCCATCATAAGACAGAAGGTTGCTGACACTAGTGGCTTCAACCTGGAAAAGTCCAGGAGGTATAATGGTAAAAGTCTTTGTTACTCTAAAGACCTGCATTCAAATACCAACTCTGCCACTTTCTGATTGTGTGACCGTGAGTAGATTCCTTCCACCTTCTTGGCCTCTGTTTACTGATTTCTAAATGGGACACAAAAATTGCTTTTATCTCATAGGGTTTTTATGAAGATTAAATGACAGAGTGTAGGAAAAGCACTGTGTCCCAATAAATGTTGACTATTATTATTTCTAGACATTCTCTGTTTCAATTTCTCTAATATACTCTGTTCTGTCTTGCTTCAGGACCCTTGCATATAATTTTCCTTCTACTGAGAACACTCTTCTCTGTTCAGCTAAATCCTGCTCATTCCTTAATAGTCAGATACAGTGGCATCTAATCTCAGTAATCTTATCTGACCTCCTAGGCTGGATTACAAATCCCTTTTATAAGCCCCCAGCATCTGAGCATATTTCCATAATAATGACGATTGCCTATATTTACTGAACACTTCTTATGAGCAAGATATCATGATAAATGCTTTCTATAATGTATTTGCTGTCAATATCACAATAATTCTATGAGATAGTTATTATTATTTCTACCTTACAGACAAGGAAACGGAGGGATACAGAGTAACTTGCCCAAGATCACAATGGCTCTTAATGGAGCTTGAATTCAAACCCAGGTCTGACCAACTCCAAAGTCATTTGGTCTTCACCACTCAGCTTTGTTGCATGGCTTTACACATATTGGTTTACTTGTTTGACCCTTCACATTAGGTTCTAGGCTACTGGAAGGTGGGGACAATATCTTTTCTCTCTGTATCCACAGCACATATTAAAGTAATCAGCACAGAAAAAGTACTCCATAATGCTTTGACAGTAAATGAATGTAAGTATGGATGATGAAAGGGAAGAGGACAACAATGAATAAACAAATAAACCTGTATCTAAACAACTGTTGAAAGGTGTCAGTGATCTGGGAGATAGAAATTGCTGTGAGAGAGAGCAAAATATAAGGGGAAAAGCACCTGTTGGTTCAGATAGTAATGAAAGATAAAACGGAAGAATCTGGCAAAAGACTAGCTAAGCTTAGTCTGTTTCAATCAGTCTCTTCATGGCCTCAAGTTCTACATAGAATGTTATACAAACATAATCCTGAAGAGAAAGGAAAGAGGAAATACCAACAGGAGGCCTTTTGAAAATGGATCTTAATTCAGTCTTCCTGATTTGCCATAAGATCCTTTGCCACAGAAGTCCCAACACAGGCATTTCGGAATGCAGTTGTGGTGGTTACCATTCCTAAATCGGTATCGACATAATGCATCAAATCCTTTTCCCTCAATCTGTCCCCAGTGAGAATCTCCCTCAGCCTCATTCCTGCCCCTCATTTTCTCAGAGGTTAACATTTAACAAATTACACTCCCAACCTCTTTCCAGGCCCATCATCTTTTTAAGTTCAACAAGAGTGGAGCTTGCTGGCTAATTTTAAGTATCACATTTCTCCCTGAGCTCCTCTCAAACTGCTCTCTGGTTTCGGCTGCAGAATGTTAACAGGCCAGAAAGCACAAGGGAGACAGAGCACTTTATCAGTTTCATACCTAAAATAATAAGCAAGTTTAAAATAAACAGTTGAGAGCGATTGAATGGCACGCTCTACTGTCAGCAAAGGCAGAAATGCCCCAGTCCAAAGGTTGACAAATGACGGGAACAGTCCTCTAGTTTCACACTGGATCTCATCTCTGAACTCGGTATGTTTCTGATAGTGTTTGTAAGGAGCTGTGTATTTTTTCACTTGGTTTTCTTAAGAGCAAGTTCATGAAATATTTCTAGTTTTCTTATGAACTATCCTAATCAAGATGTGAGTAGGAGCAGCCCAAGCTCCTACAGATACCTTCAGAAGGGGGGTCTCAGGTTTAACTTTAGGATGATGACAATTTGCAAAAGGCTAATTTAACAGCAATTGGATTTTTCCTGCCTGCTTACACCATCAGCTGACAACTCACTTCTCCATCACATCTGCAAACAGTTCGCCTAGACAGTTCTGACATTTCCCACTTAGAAAAGCCACTTTCAGGAAGTTATTAACCCAAACGGAATCTTCCTGGTCAAGCTCAGGGATACAGAAATGCCTCACTTGGGCAGGTCTGTATCCATTTGGTTCCCAGTAAGGGATAAGAACTGCCAGATAGGACAAATTGGAAAAATCGGACCAAAGATATCAGTTACTAGGAGATTAAATACCTCGATGTGTTTATAGTACATTCATAATAAAAGCCTCATTTTTTTGAGAGTATAATTCCATGATAGCGAAGACAAAACCTATTTTTGTTCACTACTATGCACTAGCACAACGCCCAGTTCCATAGTAGACAAAAATTTGCTAGATAAATATAGTGTTAATTATACACCAGGCACTGTGCTAGAACCATAATATATGTTACCTCATTTATTTTAATTCCCATCCCAAAGCTGTAAGGTAAGAATCAAACAAGAAAATGGAGGACCAGGAAAGTAAAGTAACTGCCCATCACCAGTCAGTAAGTGGCAAAGCTGGGACGAAAACTCAACTCTGCCAAAGCCATGCTCTTTCCATTACATCCCTCCCCAGAACATTGGTTCAGTCACTAACCTGGTGAGGTCCTTATATTGAGAGTCTTATTGAAATTATCCTTGAGTGCTTCTATCACAGACTTCATGTCTTCATTCACCTCTTCCAAGTTGATTATATCCTCAACCAAGGCAGTGTTAATATTCACTCTGGTTTGGGATTGTCCTTTCCCTTTGGCTAAAAAGTGAATATTCAGTGAATAAAAGAACAGCAGCATAAACAGAGCCAATAAGCAAATGGTGAAGAAGTACCTACTACGCACAAGGAAAAATGTAAAGTGTTAGAAAATTATAAAACATTATCACTGCACTAAAAAAGAACCTATATTAACTGAATGTCAACTGGATTTCCAGTACTGTGCTAAACACCTTCTCAGGTATTAGTGAGGGGACAGGCTTTATAATCAGACACCCCAGGGTAAAAGTCTAGCTATAATGCATAATAGCTTTATGACCTTAGGCAAGTTATCTGAGTATCAAGTTTCCTACCTGTAAAAGAATAATAACATCTACGTTGCAAGGTTGTTACAAGGATACAAATTAAGTCATTCAAACACCTAAAAGAATACTACCCACACGGCAGGGAATCCATAACTAAATTAATTCCTTACTTTTCAGAAAAGTAAACAGAAGATGAGAAAGGTAAAGCTACTTGCCTAATGTCATAGGTCAGGAAAACGGAAAAGTCAAGATCTGGTTCCAGATCTGCCTAATTTTAAACCCATGAACTTTCCACTAGCCCAGCTCCACAAAATCTAATTAGAGAGACAGAAAATACATTAATTCATTTAAAAATGAATACCAAAACAAGGATATGCATGCAATATCTGATGGCTGGTACAGACAAAAGGAACAACAGTAGTTTACAGACATTAAACACCAAAAATGGTAGAGACAGTGGCTTATATTTTAGAAAATCAATAGCATTGGGAGCTGAATAATACAATTTGATTTTATGTCTAAATCATCCTAGTGATTTTTCATATACATTCTATAATATGTGTATACATAATGAGTGATGCAAATATTCTTGCATTTCTTTTATAGGGGATCGGGAGAGAGAAAAAGAATGAAACTTTAATACTTATACTGTTTGTTCATTAAACAGTCAACAAACATTTAGTGAGATTCATTCAATAAATTTTGCTGAACATCTACAGTGAGCTCAATCCTGTACTATTCGTGTAACATAATTTGCAGTGCAATTTTAAGTACATTCTCCTCTTTGCTATCCAAGATAGCTCTCCAAGGTAGGGCGAATAGCAATTAGTATTGTCCCAATTGTACAGATGAGAAATCTGAAGCACAAGCCATTTAAATGTTTCGTCCAAACCAACTGGTAAGTAACAGAGTGATTTTTTTTTAAACATTTATTTGCCCAAGTTACCACTATGCTTTGAAACCAATGGCTTAGGTTTTCCTCATAACTGATAAAGATGTGGATCTTCAGACTGAAAAACATAAGTTTCAAATAGGACAATAAAAGTAAATCCATACCTACATACCTTGTGAACACAGAAAACAAAGGACAAAGAGATCTTTATAAAAGCCCAAGAGAAAAGACAAATTATCCATGAAGGATTAAAACTTAGAATACTTTCCAAGAGCAACAACAGAAGCCAGAAACAATGGAAATAATATCCTCAACTTTAAACTTTTAAAACCAAATATGCACATTAAAAATGTAAAGATATGCCTGTCAATATTAGAATGAATAGTAGTATTTATGAATGAAATACTATGCAACCATGAGAAAGAATGAACTACACACAAAAATTTGAGTCTCACAAACATGATGTTCAGCACAGAGGCCAGACACAAGAATACAAAACTGTAGGGGACTTTTGATATGCTAGGAATGTTCTGTTTTTTGATCTGGGTACTGGTACATAAGTGATTTCAGCTTGTGAAATTCATGATAGCTTCACTTTCCTACAGTACTTTTTTATTTCTATAAAAAGGTTAAAAAATTGGTTAAGGGTAACTATCAAAACAGTAAGAAATTAGATGTGTATCTTCTAAATCAGCAGAATTTAAAAAAGAGAGAGGGATAAAAAAACTTTAACAGAAAAAGAAGAAAAAAAGGTATTTACAAAATAGCTAAAAGAGAGAGCTTCAAATGTTCCCAACACAAAAAAATGATAAAAACTTCAGATGCTAGATAACCCATATTCCCTAACTCAATCATTTATGCATGTAACAAAATATCACATATACCCCATAAGTATATACAAACATATATCAATAAAAAATTTAAAAATAAAAATATGGACTTGAAAACAAAAGAAAAAGGAAAACACATAATTAAGAAAGTACAAAATAAGGCTGGGCGTGGTGGCTTATGCCTGTAATCCTAGCACTTTGTGAGGCTGAGGCAGGTAGATCACCTGAGGCCAGAAGTTGGAGACCAGCCTGGCCAACAAGGTGAAATAACACCTCTACTAAAAGTACAAAAAATTAGCTGGGCATGGTGGCATATGCCTGTAGTCCCAGCTACTCGGGAGGCTGAGGCACAAGAATCACTTGAACCTGGGAGGCGGAGGTTGTGGTGAGCGAAGGCTGCGCCGCTGTACTCCAGCTTGGGCAACAGAGTGAGACTCTGTCCCAAAACAAAGAAAAAAAAAAAAAAAAAAGGAAGTACAAAATAAAATAATAACACAAATACTTAGTGAGTACAATAAATATAAATGAATCAAAATGACCAGTTAAAAGTTAGAGATTCTCAGTAAGATTTTTAAAAATCTAGTCGAATATAACATAAGAGTTTTTAAAAATTATATAAAATCACAGAAAGTTTGTTGTATAGAGATGGAAAAATTATAACCTGGCAAACATTAATCAAAAGAAGCCTGGTTTAGCTACATTATCATCAAACAAAAAGATTTTAAGACAAAATTCACTATTAGAAATCATGAAGACAACTTCAAAATGATAATAGAAACAATTTACCAGAAAGATATATAACAATTCTAAGCTTAAATATATCAGTAGGATAGCCTCAAAATTAACAGAATTAAAGGAAGAAACTGGCTGGGTGCAGTGGCTCACGCTTGTAATCCCAGCACTTTGTGGGGGCTGAGGTCGGTGGACTGCTTGAGCCCAGCAGTTCAAGACCAGTCTGGGAAACATTACAAAACCCACTCCCTACAAAAAATACAAAAATACCCAGCCATGGCAGCGTGTGCCTGTAGTCCCAGCTATTCAGGAGGCTGAGGTGGGAGAATCAACTGAGCCCAGAAGACTGAGGTTGTAGTGGGTTGTGATTGCACCGCTGCACTCCAGCCTGGGAAAAACCCTGTCTCCAAAAAGAAAAAAAAAAAAGAGAAACTGATCAATCTACAAGCATACTAGTAGAGTTTAATATACCTTTCTTGAAAACTGATAAGTGAGCAAATTAAAAAGTAAAACAGAAAAGTTCATCGATAAAATTACCCAATTTGATCAAATAGAATACACCCAGCAATATGAGAATACACATTATTTTCAAGCACATTTGGAGTTTCTATGAAACACCACAAATCAAATCTTAACAAAGATCAAAGAATCTGTATCATTTAGAACATGTTCTCTGAACAGAGTAGAATTAAGCTAACCTCAAAACAACCATGTTTGAAAAACTTTAAACACTTCTTAATAATACAGAACTTATGAACTATAGAGAAATGCATAGAAATTTTTAAATATTGAGAAATGACCGTAATAAAAATACTAAATATCAAAAACTCAAGTCAGGCACGGTGGCTCACACCTGTGATCCCAGCACTCTGGGAGGCCAAGGTGAGAGGATCACTTCAGCCCAGGAGTTCCAGTGAGCTATGAATGTACCACTGCACTTCAGCCTACACAACAAAGCAAGGCCTTGTCTCTAAAATAAATAAATAAATAAATAAATAACCTTATAGTAAGCATTTAAAGTTGTGGGGTTTTTTTCTTTATGTTTGTTTGTTTTGACATGGAGTTTCACTCTGTTGCCCAGGCTAGAGTACAGTGGTGCAATCTCAGCTCACTGAAACTTCCCCCTCCCGGGTTTAAGTGATTCTCCTGCCTCAGCCTCCTAAGTAGCTGGTATTACAGGCAGGCACCACCACACCCAGCTAATCTTTGTATTTTTAATAGATCACTCCTGGGCTCAAGTGATCCACCCAGCTCAGCCTCCCAAAGTGCTGGAATTACAAGCGTGAGCCACCATGCCTAACCACATGCAGAATCTACAAAAAAGTTGAATACACACAGAGAATAAAATAATACATAGCAGGGGTCAGTGGGGGTGGGTAGTGGTGGTGGTGAGGAAATGGAGAGATATAAGCCAAAGGATACAAAGTAGTAGATTATAGGATGAACAAATCTGGAGATCAAATGTTCAATATGAGGACTATAGTTACTAATATTGTATTATACTCTGGATTTTTTTGCTAAGACAGATTTTAAGTGCTTTCGCCAAAAAAAAAAAAAAAAAAAAAAGGGAGGGAGTAACTATGTAAGATAATAGATATGCCAATTTGCACGTAAATAACCATTTCACCGGATGCATATCAAAGCATCGTGTTTGTAATGAAAAGTTTTAAAAAAAAAACAGCAAAGGCCAAAAAGTAATGAACTAATTGTCCAACTCAGAGGATAGAGAGTAAGTACACAGGAGAAAGTAAATAATAAAGAACAGAAATCATAAAATTGCAAAAAAGAGAGATCAAAAAATCAAAGACTCTTTTAAAAGGTTTATAAAATTGACAAATTTCTGTCAAGAACAATTAAGAAAAGGAAGTAGATGCAAATAAATAATATTAAGAGAGAAAAAATGGACATGATTATAAAAACAGAAATCTTAATAATCTTAAGAGACTATTATGGACAACTTTATGCCAACAACTTTGAAAAGTCCGAAAAAATGAAAAATTTCCTAAAATATACAACTTACTAAAATCAAGAAGAGAAAAATCTAACCAGTCTCATAATCATTAGAGAAACCAATTCTATTATTCAAAGTCTACCTATACACACACACCCCAGATTCATGTTACTTTACAGGCAAGTTCTAACAAACACACAAGGAACTGATAATCCTGATTTTTTATAGACCATCCCATTAAGAAAAAGAGATGCATTCCCCAACTCACACTATGAGGCTAAGCTAGTCTTAATACAAAGCCGGAGAATAATACAAGAAAACTATGCTTATGA